AGCAAGAGAAAGACAGTCAGTTACCTACAAGGGAGTACCCATACGACTGTCAGCTGACTTCTCAACAGAAAATATGCAGACCACAAGGGAGTGGCAAGGAATATTCAAAGTGATGAATAGCAAGAACCTATGACCAAGATTACTCTACCCATACCCAGCAAAGCTATCATTTAGCATTGAAGGTCAGATAAAGAGCTTCCCAGATAAGAAAAAGCTAAAGGAGTTCATCACCTCCAAATCAATATTATACAAAATGCTGAAGGGTATTCTTTAAGAAGAGGAGGAAGAAGAAAACGGTAAAGATAAAAATTATGAACAACAAAGTGGCAACCAATACATATCTATCAACAAGTTAATCTAAAAATCAAGTGAATAAAAAATCTGATGAACAGAATAAACTGGTGAATATAATAGAATCACGGGCATAGAAAGGGAGTGGACTGACTGTTCTTGGGGGGGAAAAGGGGTGAGGGGGATGCGGGAAGAGACTGGACTAAAATCGTGCACCTATGGATGAGGACTGTGGATGGGGAGTGAGGGAGGAGGGTGGGGTGGGAACTGGGTGGAGGGGAGTTATGGGGGAGGAAAAGAGGAACAACTGTAATAATCTGAACAATAAAGATTTAATTAAAAAATAAAAATAAAATGTACATTGTGACGATTTGATGCATGCATACACTGTGAAAGAATTCCCATCATCTAGTTCACTAACATCCATCACCTCACATATTTATCCTTTTTCTGTGTGTGTGAGAATATGTAAGATCTATTCTCTTAGCAAATTTAAAGTATGCAAGGCAGTGTTCTCAACCATAGTCACCATGTTTTACATGAGATTCTCAGCCATCACTCATCTCATATCTGAAAGTTTCTGCCTTTTTATCAACCTCTCCCATCTCCCCAACCCCTGCCAACCACCATGCTACGCTGTTTCTGTGTGTGACTTTTCTTGTACACTTCTGATTTGTTGGTTTATACATATTTATATGTAGTAGTTGAGAGTGAGAGAGCCAAAGACAGGACCATGGAGACCCCATGCTGTACCTGCGGGGGGGCTCCTCCTGGCATCCTCTCAGCGCCTGGAGGAGGGGCCACCTCCCAGCACACACGCCAGCTCAACGGCAGGTCAGGTTCCTCCTCTCGACGTTAACTATGCCAGGCCGGCCCAGCACCCCAGACGCCTCATGCTATGGGCTTCGCTCAAGGAGGCAAAAAGGGTGTAGGTGTTCTTTATCGTCAGCACCTGCCAGCTGCCAAGTCCCTCGGGGCTGTTCCAGAGGGTTGCTCCCCACGATAGGCATCAGTCTGCTGAAGAGTGCCACCTATAAAACTCTGGATGGGACGCCAGCTCCACCAAAGGCTTTGTCCACCTGGAGGAGAGGCCCCACCCATGGTGCCGTGGGCAGCCAGGGCCAGGACACAGTGATGGGAGCAGTCAGGGCAAAGTGGGAGTGGGGGACACACAACTCCCCATCCTGCCACAACCAACACTGGCATGGTCCTCGGCCAAATACCCTTCCTCTGAGTCACCGTTTCCTCATCTGTAAAATGGGCATCGTTACTCATACATGTCAGCCTCTCTGAGCAAAATCACATGAGATGTATGAGTGGTTCGGGTTCTCCACATCCTCACAGTATTTGGAACAAACTGCTAAGACCCACAACACCTTGGATGAATCTCATGGGACTTATGCTGTGTAGGAAAGGGGGTAAAGTCAATCCCAAGAGATTACATACTGTGTGATCCTATTAGTATAACATTCTGATCCTATTAATATAACATTCTTGACATGACAAAATTATAGCAATGGAGAGCTGATGAGTGGTTGCCAGGGGTTAGAGGTGGGGGTAGGGGTGCGAGAGAGAGGTTGGTGTGGTTATAAAAGAGCAATCTTCTTATAACAGGACCCTTACAGTGATGGAACTGTTCTGTATCTTTGCTTGCTGTGGAGGTGGAGTCACAACCTTATACATGATAAAAATTTGCATAAACTAAATACACACACACCAATATGAGGAAAATGGGAAATAAGGTCCATGGATTCTATCAATGTCAATATCCTGGTTGTGACATTGTGCTATAGTCTCCTAAGATGTTACCTTTGAGGAAGACTGAGCACCTGGGAT